GAGGTCTGAATACTTTCCGAATGCACTGTATATACTTTATATACTCTGCTACTATGGAGGGGAATAATTATCTACCTATGTGATTATACGTGTGGCTTATTTCTGAGAGTCCTTTGATTGGGATCCACTATTGTGGTTTGAAAAAAAAATTATTGTGATTATGTCTGTTCACATCAATAGATGCCACTTGCTCAGCTGCTGTACTATACTTTCAGAGCTAGCCATACTTACTGCTCTAATCTCCATAATCAGCAGCAATGACTTATTATGGGGCCACAATCCCTGCTCTGATCTTAGTCTGCTGTCACCTGATCGCTGATTTGCTTTCTGAGTGGTATTCTCCACATCAGGTTGGCTGGCATTAATCACAATGTAAATGATTGAACTACTTTGCTTGGCACCATTATGTACAGATGAGGTTTGCTGGCTATCTGTTCCTAAAGTGGGAAATAATAACTGGAGTGGTCCAGAATGGAATTTGATTCACGAGACCAAGTTGAGTGATGTGTAAGCATTATGTACCTTAATCTTGTCAGGATTAGGAGACTTGGCATCCAGGAAACTTCTCCTTTACAGTTGTTTGGTGCTTGAGGGTACGTTCCTACTCCAAACCCAGTGACTAAGAAATCATAGGCCTACCATGCCACTACTCCAGAAGCCATGAATCTGGCTACAAATTATAACCAATGTACAAATATCTCTGCCACAAGATCTAGCTAATTTGTCACTCTTAGGGATCTGGCTTCTGTTGAAACTTCTGGGATATTACATGCCCATATGACTAAAGCACAGGAAAAACAGCTGCAGCCCAGTACTGCAGTTTTGTAGGCTCACTTCGTCACTCTGTTCATCCTTTATTCATCTGAGTCTGTGAACACCTCTCTCCGTTCTCTTGGGACTACTAATTTGGAATTATGCCTATCAGTTCATCATGCTACGCATTGCTAGCCATGCTGGCTGGGGAATTCTGGGAGTTGAAGTTCACACATTTTAAAGTTGACAAGGTTGAGAAACACTGCTTTGGAGAGTAGATACAGCTTGTTCACTACCAAATGAATGCTCTAGGTTTGATGGTTCTGCCCACTCCTCGGTTATCTCTGCAAAGAAGTCTGGAAACAGCATTGACATTTATGCTGGATTCTGTAGAACTTTATGAACTCTTAGGGGTACTAACTGTAAGACTGCTGGGGCCCAACTCCAGTTAAGCATCTTTGCTGAGTATTTAGCATCATTAGGATTATGTCAGCATTAAGCAGGCTCTGATGGAAAGCTGCAAACTGAATGAAGTTATGATCTGAAAGTGGACCTTCTTCTGGATCTGAATTCCATAAGGACTAGATTTCAAACCTGTCTTGTGACCCTCTCCGCCATTCCTCTACAGGAGTCAGGGATTCCTCCTCATTGGTTAAGGCTCCATGGCTGAAAATCTCAAGAATGAGGTTTTGGTCCTCTTCTTGCTTTTTCAGCCCCTCTGCCCCTTTCTGATGCCATTATGATTCTTGCCCATCTTTCTTCTTTTCAAACCTGTTGGATGTCTTATTCTTCTTTTACTACATAAATATGAGGATCACAAGTATGCAGAGGGTGAGGAAGAGTAGCATTCATCTAACAGGATTCTGGAATTAAGGTAACTGCCTCCCCTTTCTTATCACCTGATCTCAGGCAACCTCTGTTCTCCATGAGCTGGTTTAGGATTGTCTATAACTGTGCTTTGCAGACTACCTATTTTGAGGGGCCAGGTAGACTGCCTGGGAATGCCATGTTCTGTGTGGGTAGGCAGGAGATAATGAGGATCTGTACCTTCTCAAATCCCTGAGCTGATATGCTGGAGCTAGCTAGACTAGTTCACAATTCCCTTATTCCTCCACCAGCACTCACCCCCATTCTGCTAATGTACTGCAAAACCCAGTGTCCTTCAGTTTTCCAAGCATCATTTTGTCAACAGAGTAGGGGAAAATCCAACTACTAGTCCTTGTTTTAAATTGGAGAGGTTGGGTGTTGCTATGCTGTCTTTTCCAACCTCTAAGATTAGTCCACCTTCTGCTTTTTCTCTGGAAAACATGGATTATCTGGATCTTTTTCAATTCCAAAATTCTGAAGTATCCAAGTTTATGCAAAAGTATGCAACAGTGCAACCTGAATAAAAATCTGAGGAGTTGACTCTGAACAGTACTAAATTGTTATAGAAGCTTGGTCTAGAAACCAAACAAGCTGCATTTATTGTTATTAACACAAATCTAATTCATCCATCTCCACATCCCCTAGTGCTTCTACAGAAATACAGATTAATTAATTGATATATATCAGTGACAATGAAACATTGTAACATTAGATAATCACATGCTCCAGAATACCCTTTCTCTAGCATCATGTTCTTTATATGCAGAGAACTATTACTCCCATAAGACCAGCAAGTATACCCATATTTGCAGATGGGACATAGTTTTATGGGAGTTCTAGTTCAACACATCTAGAGTCACTAAATTTGAGAAGGCTGTTCCTGAAGGAAACAAACCATTATGTATCATGCATGCAGATTTATATTTGCTGTACCATTTATATATGTTATGAGATTTATACCCAGATAAGCACCCATAGGATTCGTATGGGACAACTTCAGGAATCTTTTGTCTCAAAATAACTACAGAAAAATGTTGATCACATTCACAGAATTTTGTTCATTGCTACAGCGAGTAACTTACACTAACATCTGCATTCTGAAGTCACTGAAGAGAGCAATGTTCACGCTAAGCTTTATCGGCAACCCTCTTGTATGAGAGTGACGGCTAGATATTCTTCCAATCGCATAATACATGCAAGGAGCTACTAGTCTGCAAAGGCACCAGCTAGCCTGTCTACCAGGTCTGGGCGAACCTACAGAATACCACGGGGCTCTGACCTGGACCAGACCATCAAAAACTGCCTGCAAGTTAGGCCATGGTTCGGCTTCTTCGTGAAAAGGTCCCAGCTTAATAGAAGGCGATGAACGGGCATTAAGAGAGCCAGCCTTTGCACGGACTCGCGAGGGTGGGGAGAGATACCCACAGTCGACTACTATCCCTCCACACCCAGCCCTAAGAGCACTCCCACGTCTTAAATTAAATCCTTGTCTAAAAGAAAACGGTTCCGGAAGGGAAATACAGGCGCTGTATGTTTACCTCCGTCAAGCCGCGGTCGCTTCAGCTTCACTTCGTCTCCTTTCCCGTCCGCCATTTTTTCTCCTCCTCCTCCCTCCCGCCCCGTCGCTACTGCGCCGTGAGTATGCGCAGTAGTGTAGTTTAAGTCCTCCCACGATCCGTCCAGGAGAGTAGAGAGGAGGCTAGAGAAGCCGGGATTGGCAACAATGTGCCTCGTTCTTCGTTCCTTCTGTGCTTTTGCTTTGTTTTCTTTTAGAAACCCGTAGCCTTCAGTTGGAAAAGCGGCCGTTAAAGAGCGGCGGCAGTCATTTGAGTTGCTCGATGGTCCCTTGATTGGACATGACATCACCATACAGTGTCTGCCTCAGGCATACACAGGCAAACCGGTTAGGTTCAAGAAATGCTGTTATTTGCAATTATCCTCGAAAAAAGTCTGTTTCATAGTTGAAGAAATTACCAGATAGGAAGTGCTTTAGTACTACAAACCTGATATTGTTGATTAGACTTTTTTTATGTCTGTTTATAATACTTAATATATATACTGTTTTTTACAAAAAGAGTTTGGATCGTCTAAAACTGCTAAATGGCAATATATTCAATTAAAATATGACTGCTATCTGGTTTATGGGTATTAGTTGCATATGAAGTTTCTAAATTATGACTATATTATTAGAAAAAATGGAATTGTAAACTATTTTTTATCAACAATTGCACTAATATAGGACTCACTAGTCATTGGGACCAATTATTGGAATCAATGAAGTAGAATTTTTAAAAAAGTAAAATATTACAGTTTTAAGATGCAATTAATTCAATAAAAGATTATTTCCAAAGCATGTGCAACAAGGGCAGGCTTTCAGCTTCTGTATGTTGTATGTCAGAAGTGACAGTGACTCACAAGTACTGGGCATGCTGTGTAATGACACCATTAATAATTAGCATCATGCAAAAGAGAATTAAAGATGTGAATGTGATGTTAAATTTGTAAGCTACTAAAGTATGAAGAACTGGATTTATAGCATACGGGCAGCAGCTAAAACTGTTTTACTTCAGCAGACTTTAATGTGCCTGGTCAAAAACCATGGACAGAGATGTGCACAGTTTCTGTATATGAACTGACCTTCCACTGATGTCATAGAAAGTCTGAGCAATGATTCTGTATTGCCAAGGTTTAGTTTAAGACTTGAGCTCCACTGTATATAGATAGATCCTTTGTTTTGTCTTAAGATTTTTAGTATTTTGCATTAATTCAATTTTCTACTTTTTATCTTATTACAGTGTAAAATCAAATTAAAACCCATTTTAAAGAATTAATACAAAAATTGAATACCGGGATGACCACATACTTAGATGGTTTTAAAGATGCCAATGAATACTCATTTCCAGTAAAAAGGACTGCTTGTGGACTACCATAGCTGCAAGTTTAGACTCAGCTAGCAGGATTCTTACAACTTTATATATTGATATTAAAAGCAGTAACATTCTGAGACAACTCAAATATTATAGGTTACTTATTTTAAAATTATGCATCTCATTCTACTTGGGTTTGACTCTTGGTTACTTAATGGACATGTTCATGAAATTAGTTTGTCATTGCCTTCTTCCTGAATATTTTTTTAACTTTCCAGTTAAGCCTCAATCCCTGTATTTCCCAATAAATTCCTATTCAAGTACCAAAGATGATCCTGCTTATTTTTTTGTGATTAGTCTAGGGCAGGTATGTACTGCTACAATGAGACAGTAAGGCAAGAGTGCTGAGCACATCAACACACCTGAATATATTATGATTAACATATCAATTATATATTCATGTTTATCATAATGAGTTTTCAGACTGTGTTCTGTGGAACTCTAGGGTTCTGTGAGAATTGATGGGGTTCTGTGAAAAGCAAAGGGAATAAAAATGTTTAATCAAATGCAGCCAGGGGTGTCCATAACACTTTTTCAAAGGTAGAGCAGAAAGGGTGAGGCTTGCCACCTGATATTCAGAAGCCCCACCCCCCAGGAAGTGGTTTGTGCTCATGAGGACTCACTGCTTTGCCTTTTGATCAAGGGTTCCAGGAGATTTTCTTTTTAATTAACAGTTTTGTAACCTGAACAAGTTTGAACCCTGCCTCCACCAACACAGATGACCAAACAGTGATAAAACTCAGATTAGGTCAGGAATCTCATGGGGTAGTGGGGCAAAGCTGCGGGCCTTTTCCCCTCTATTTTCTCTGCACAATATACACATTAACCACAATCTGATCTTCCTACTGCTGTATAAAAAATGTAAGACAGCACTATTAGAAAATAGGCCCAACACAATTAACATTAAGCAAACCAGTTACACAGACACAAAAAACAAAGAGATACTAAATAGGGAAAATCAGCGTGTGTACAACTTTCATTTCTAACTTTTTTTAGATTCTTGCATTCCATGTGATGTGAACAATTTAGCCAATCAATATACATCATGAGTTTGCTTGTATTATGCGTGTATAAAAGTTAATACGTTGGCATCTGTTCCTAGCAACAGCCATTAAGAAGTTAAAATTAAAACTAAAATAACATTTCTCTTTGTCAGTGTATTCTAACTGGATAAAAGGAATAAATTTTCCACACTACCAGCACCTTCCCATTAAGCACTGCCGCCACCACTGCACTTGAATTCAAACATGAATAAATTCAAACATGAACATCTTCCTTTCCCTTAGCTGCAATGATGCCCTGTAGTGACACTTGAATACAAATATATCTTGGACCAAACATAGATCACCCCAAACTGGGAGTTTTGTGCACAGATGTCCATCCATGGAATGTTTTGCACATCCCTATATAAGACCCTTTTATTTCTAGTGACCGCAGGAACATCAAAAGAAGCTAACCTTTTGGAGATGAGATGCTGGGATGGAACAGCCACAATTTGCTATTTTTTTTAATAATTATTAATAGTTTTGCACTTTTATGCTTGATGTGTTTAAAACTGTGGCAAATCACCTTCCCCTTTTAGGTCATTTGTTCAAAAGACAACGTATATGCATTTGTAATATAATTAGATCAAAAACACCATTTAAACATATTTTTAGTAAGTCGCTCTGTATATTCAACAAGTATAACATTTTAGATAATGCCTTAACAATGTAAATAAAGATACAATTGAATATTATCCAGCTTTTTTCTTCTAAAATAAAAAGGTCATATACGCATTTTTTTTTCAAGTTACATTCCTCACATTAATTCCTGAATAAAATCAGAACATTTACAATAATTTGAATTGCTTGTTGTAACGCAAAATTCACAGCAACTTCATATTTCCCTGAATCAAAACTGGGAAACTATCTTTATATAACTTTGCTATGTGAGCCAGTACAATGGGAAGCACAGAAAAATATGTACTGTATCATTAGACTGCGGTCAGTGACAGACCTCAAGCATTAACAACTATTGTTCTTTTTTTTTAATCTGAAACCTGTTTTTCAGCCCCATTGTGTATTACTGAGATTTTCTCAGCAGACAGAGCCAGAAAATGATTTCCTATATGTTTAGAAATATAGCCCACCTATGGTGAAGCTATAACGTGTACTCTTACATTTTATCATTACTGGATTATTTAGTCTGTAGAACTTGAAAGCTTACTGAGAACAAATGCTATTTTACATGAAACTTATACCAATCATAACTGGGTGACTAACACACTACTCTTCCCACAATCCATTCCACAATTGTTTCCTGGAGAGTTCCTCTACCAATTGCCTTTTTTTAAGGGTTCGCTCATAGATCTTTCTATTCTTTTGTGTGTGAATATATTGTTGCAAAGATGGATCTATAAAACCTTCATGCTTTCTTTTTGGAACAAACTCTAGAGCCTCCTTCCAATTTCCAGTATTTTTCAGAGTTACTAAGATCATCATCATTTGATCCAGGGTAAGAACTTTGGCTCCAGTTTTCCAATTGAAGTATCTTTCTAGAGGAAGTTGTGCTGTTGCCAACTTCAAGCGTTTTGCACGAGCAAGAGAGACTCCCTTCCTTATTGTCTTATCAACTAGGGATCCAATTATATAGATTTTATTATGGTCAAATGTTTCCATTACATTGGGAGAATCAGAAGTTAAGTAGACAATCTGATCTCTTGGAAATATTTCAGCATAAGACTTTTCTGTCACTGTCACAAGCAAATTGTCCCATGCATCTCCATAACGCCTGATGAATTCTTTGTGGTATGGACCATCTTCTTTAAGATTACAGTAATATAAATGGAATGGTTCTATAGCTCTACGATTGGCTCCTTCACATTCCATCATCTGTTTCACTGTATTCTGCATTTCTCTCTCTGACATATCATTGTAATCCATGTCAAATACCAGAGGCTGGCCAAAACGCATAGCCTGAACAACTTTCCAATTGTATGTGACATCCATTGAGGAGGTCCAAATGCACCGTAACAATCTATTTGTCAGTGCTGATTCACCCACATTTTCCATTGTTTTTCTAAGTTCCTCTCTTTCTTCCTTTTGTTTTTTCTTTTTTTCTTGTGCAGCATTCTTTTTCATTTCTTTTAAAGCCAAAAAGGCTAAGTACTTATTTCTTGAAGTATTAGAGGGATATTCAATTAATTTCTTTAACTGTTCTTCGGTGATTTTTTCTGGAGCAGCATTACCTAAACGCCTAGACATCTCAATGAATTCCTTAATAGCTACTATATTAGGCTCTTCCTCAGATGATGCCCTTTCAAATGCTTCTTTTTCTAAGCCAGCGAGCACAACAGATTTCCATTCATCTAGATTTATGTTCTCATCAACATTTTTTGAGATATTTTTGTTCAAATAAATCATCATCAATGTTCTACAAGTACTGATTTTGCTGGGCACTGTTAAAAATAACCCATATTTTGTCATTTTTGGTGCAATAAATTTGAAGGCAGATCTTCTAATTATATTCAATAAATGCATGTTGAAAAAGATCAAAATTGATTGTGATGTCCAACAGGTACCTGCAATTATACAGAGAGAGAAAACAGAAGATACCTTATAGAAAAAAAACTGAAATTGTTCCTCATCTTAATTATTATAAACATCAGTAATATAAACTGATTTTATTTATTACATTTTTAATCTACCTAGTTGCTATGATTCTGAATAGATTGAAGAATAATGCACTGATACATAAGGGCTGGAAATAAAAGATTAAGATCAAAGAGAGATGCAAGAGATTTTAAACTGGAAAAAAATAGCCTTTTGGTGACTACCGGCACATTTTTGGAAGGGCTGAGGTCCCCGTTGAACAAGGCAATGATGCAAAGTAGACAGAACTGTGAAGCATACTTTCTTTAAAATAAATACATATATGTATATTAAGCCTATTTTAAAGCTCAGGGCATATTTTTTTGAATTTCTCCTTCTCAAAATGGCAAAAAAAAAACCCTGCTAATGTGTTTGGTTCAGAACGTGACCTAGGAAATGTAGCCAAGGGATTCAGGAGCCATATGAAATACTGGGATTCCTGGTTATCCATTTTAAAGAAAAAGAGGGATATGTGAACGATGTAAAGGGGAATGGGAAATAGCATAGGAATTTTGAAAACACAAATCACAATTGATTTGTTTGTATATGATGAAGGAGTGAGGGTAAGGAGACATTCTGAATGCAAGACATATCATTTTTAGTTCTGTCCAAAGTTGATATTGAGGGAAAATGGATATGGAAGAAAAAGAAAGAAATGAAATAAGCTAGATTGAAAGTAGAATGACTATTTTATGCAGTAGCAGTACTTTGTGAAAAAGTATTAAAAGATTGATCTCACAACAGAATGAACAGAAAGTGCATGTAATGAAAAAGAAATGGAAGCTGTTCATTACATGCACTTTCTGTTCATTCTATTGTGAGATCAATCTTTTAATACTTTAATACTGATTCTCCCAGTGTAATGGAAACATTTGACCATAATAAAATCTATATATGTTTGAAACAGAGAAAAGAACTATGTTACAAAGTGGGGCAGAAGTGTATAGAGTTACACTAAAGAGTAGCATTATAATGATGCTTAGTGGAATGATGAAAGTAAAAGAGGCTGTGTATGAGAAAAAAGGGAATATGGGAAGATGGGATGTGTGATGTACTTCCAATTACTTTATTTATTGCTAAATATATGAAAAATGCTTGTGATGATGTTACAGTTGTGTATGTTTGAGGTATTTGTAAATGTACATTTTAAATGCAAGCAATCCCATGTGACTGACTGAAATCCTAAATAATTTGCTGGAATGGTTAGATGAACCTTATGATATGCAAAGGCTAGTAGAAAGCAGGATTAGATGTGATTTGTTGCAAGAAATGAATGTTGAAAGAAACAAAAGTATGTAAGAGTATGCTTTAGGCAATTTTGTTATATGGAAGTAGGAGCCGGGAATGTCAGGAGAAATTAGAAAGTAAAGTGAATAAAGTGGAAATGGAGATACTTATATGTATATGATAAAACATAAAGAGATACAGGTATAGTAAAAATGTATTTTATAAAATTTGTTGTTGTTCAGTCGTTAAGTCGTGTCCGACTCTTCGTGACCCCATGAACCATAT